TTTGGCTCTCGGAGCGTTTTGCAAGTACCCAAGAAGGGCTTCGCCTCCAAGGTCTTTAATGGAGCTTGCCACCTCTCTAGAGGGCAGGAAGGGCTGTGACTTCCTCTCGAGAACCTCCTCCCAAGTGTATGTCTCCCTCTGGCAAGGATGGGTTTTTCCAGGGGCTTTGTTGTTGCTGGTCGCTTGTGTTTTATTAGGTACTTGAGCAACTGACGGTCTAAAAAAATCAGCAAGAGAAAATTAATTTGGGGTCAACACTTTTATGCCAATTCCAAAGCTCAGCCCCGGCTCCACAGTGGTTTATGGGTGGGTTAATGTACATCCCCAGAAAGTCTGCCTAGCCCAAGGGTAGGCTCAGAAATAGAACATGGGGGGGATGGGGTGGGGAGCGGGGTGGGCAGAATGAAAAAACTCTTCTGTGAGGCGATGGAGAAGAGCTGCAAGAGAGCAAGACCGGAGAGTGAGGCAGAGCCCAGGGCCCTGGAAACAGAGGGAGGGGCAGAGTGAAGCCACTCAAGACTTGCTGGAACAGATCGAGCACTAGTGACGGGACAGCGGCCGCTAAATTCTAAATCTATTAAAGACAAGGAAGGTTTGGGGCCTCCCTGGTGGCTCAAGGGGTTAAGCACCGCATTATGAAGCAATCCGCAGCCTCTGCAGCACTAGTTTGATCCCCAGCCAGGGAGCAACCCACATGACACAGCAGACCTCTCCTGACTAGCCCACTGCTCCCCTCAGCAGTGTATTTCAGTCAATCTGCCTGTTCTGCTCCCCACTCTGTCTCTGGTGAATCCTCTCACCCCCCACATCTCTGGCCTGTACCCCAGCTCTGTATGCATAAATAAATAAATCTATACATACATACATACATACATACATACATACATACATGCATACATACATGGAAGGTTTGTTAGAAACCAAACCCATGGACGTTTGTAATGGAGTTCTCACTCTAAGAAATTTCTCTGGGTTTTCTCTAGCCAGGAAGTCCCGGGTTTCGCGTGACTAGGTCAGTAAAAGGAATTTTTCCAGAACTTAACACAAGGTGGCGCCAGACACCCGCGCACGTAATGAGGTCCCCTCGGTGGACTCCAGGAGCAGGCGCGAAAATTCCCTGAAGGGATTGTCAGGCCAAATTCAAAAGAAACTGAAAGGTCCCAACCCACAAAAAGTTAGTATAATGAAAAGGTAAGGTAGCACACAGAAAATCGTGGTGGTAGAGGATGTGTGTGTGTGTGTGTGTGTGTGTGTGTGTGTGTGCACGCGCACATGTGCATATATGTATATATGTATATATATGCAGTCCCAGACCATTGAATAACTAGACAATAGTAATAATCTATTCACCTTCTTTGATAATGTACTGTATTCATTTTGGCTTTTTTTATGTATGGTGGACTCAGGACTTTATAGTTTTATTGTGTTGAGTCACGTCTGCCAATATTCTCCTTTTGATGTTCAGGTGGTCCTGAAGTTGGCCTGGGAAACTTTAAACTGATTCTTGTGTCATTTTGAATGATCCCACTACTTAAACTTTGTTTCTGGCCCAACAAGGCACTGATGTTCTCGAATTGTCTTGTGCCCTGGTGCCCTCAGACCAGACATGGAATCAGACATTGTTCAAAAAAACCCTGGCTCTTTTTGGGAGAAAAAAAATGCATTAGAAACTAAAATCTGGGTGCAGCGGGTTGAAGCACTGTGAAGCTGTCCGCAGTCTCTGCAGCATGGGTTCGATTCCTGGCTGGCCAGGGAGATACCCACATGGTGCAGCAGACCTCTCCTGTCTTACCTGCTGCTCCCCTCAGCAGTATATTTCAGCCAGTCTTCCTGTTCTGCTCCCCGCTCTGTCTCTGGTGAATCCTCACACACACACACACACACACACACACACACACGCACTTCTGGCCTGTACCCCAGTTCTTGTATAAATAAATAAATCTTTAAAAAAAAAAAAAAAAGAAACTAAAATCTGACATCTGGGTTCATTATGGAGTGATATTGCTACTAGACCATTTTAGTGAGGAAAAAAGCAGAAAAGGAAATACATTTTTAATGTTTTATAAAAGTATGACTTCATATATTGACATGCACAGCTCAGTTCTAACAGCCCACTGCTCCTTCCCAAATTTTTGGTTCTACAATTAGCCTTTCCTCTGACTAATCCTATAATCTAGGTTCCCATTAAAATAAACGTAATTACTTACTTGCTTTATCTGACAACTCAACTTAAAGAATATCTACCACCACCCCAAAATAAAAACAATCAATAAAACAATAAAAATAATAAATAAAATTGTTTTAGATCATGCACTCCTAAGGATTTTTACCAAATCACTGTTCCAGAATCACACCGCCCACATGTGTGGCTATGTAAGGACTTACTTGACAGACAGTTGTGGTTTAGTTGTTCCTGTTCATTTTCATTTGGGGAAGACTGCAATTTACCCCACCCCCCACTTTCTGCTCTACCTTTTCCTCTTTCATAGGAATTAGAAACTCCAACATAGCAGATTCACTTAATAATAATGTTATTATTATTTCATTTCTATTATTTTGTTATGATGATTTAACCATTTACACACGAGTGCAGCAGGGGGATTTGCTCATTGGACTCTGGCAGTTGTTCCTGAAGGTAGAACTAAGGAAGCTGGGCTTCATTCTGGGGTCAAAGGTTAAACATCACATGCTGCAAGAGATAGTCTTCCTGTCTTCTTGTATTTTTTTTTTAAAGATTTATTTATTTATGCATACAAGAACTGGGTACAGACCAGAGGTGGGGGGCGGGGGTGAAAGGATTCACCAGAGACAGAGTGGGGAGCAGAACAGGCAGATCAATTGAAATACACTGCCAAGGGGAACAGTGCCATTTGGGTAGCTCCCTGGCCAGATATCGAACTTGTGCTGCAGTGGCTGCCAATAGTTTCATTGGTTGCATCTTAACCCCTTGTGCCACCAGGGAGGCCCTTCTTGTAGTTATTAATGGCACTCCTTTTCACTCACTAGAGTGATGCAGTTTAGAGGGCAGATGAGATGGGTGATTCAATTGGAGGAGAAGAGAGGGAGGAGTCAGTATATAAGTGCTCTAGGAGAGAGGGGATCAGCCTCTATGGAGGAGATAGCCTACTACTATCAGGGACTAGCTGCATGCCTGGTGCATGGTTGGAATTCAGTAAATGCATGTTGGGGACATGGAAAGACAACAGAATAATGAAGAGACCTTTCTATATACCTATACATGTCAGCAAGGAAAGATAAGCAGAGGGACTAATTGTGAGAGGGACTCAAGCAAGGGAAGTCAGGGGTTATTTCTGGGTTCCAGGCCTGGGCAAGTAATAGAGGGGAGGTGGCCCAGAGTTGAGGGGGAAGGGAGAAGAGAGGGGAGACTCATGATTTAATATACTCTTACTGTGGTAGTAGGATAATCTTTATTTTTGCAAAATGAAAAAATGTTTCCAGCTTAGGTCTAATACAAAATTAACACATCCTCTTTGTGAGTCAAACAACACAGCAACATACAAAATAATATAAAAGAAAAGATCATCAGCAATCTCATGCCCTGAAAAGAACCAACCCTCTGTCTATTTGAAGCTCTTTAGGTGGAGAGGGGATTGAGGGTTCTATCTTTGGAGGGAAACACCTGGTTGAGGCAGTTATTTGTCTCTACCTCTGGGCTGACTGGAAGGGGCCCAGGAAGTGAGGGTGGAAACAAGCCAGCCCAGAGCTCCAAAGCTGGGAGAGGTTGGGGACTGCAATGGGAAGTACCGGCCTTGCCCATCAATCCCTCACCCCGCTAGAAACTTCTCCCCTTTGTTTCTTCCTTGATTCTTTCCTCACCTGGTCAGTGAGAGGAGCAGGAAGTTGTCTCCAGAAGAGGGCCCTGATGAGCACACCCTGAGTGAGCTACCTTAAGGAAAAGAGAACCCCAGAGGGATTCCCATGGAGTGAGGCCTCTGGAAGACCCAGGAGCATCCTAACTGAGACATCAGGGTTCTTGTGTGCCCAAAAGCTGCTCCCCACTCCATATTTCCTACTTGGGGTTGCATCCACACATCCTGACCAAAGGCCATTGTTTCTAGACCAAAGGCCTTCATGAACCTCTCTGGACTTAGGTTGATGATGTTAACTAGAAACTTAAAAATTGTTAAATGGAAGAAACCAAAAGGATGACCCAAGTGATCCCTTTTTATTTTTAATTCTGTACTTCAACTTTGTAAGAAAAAGGGACACAGCAAACAGCATATTAGTTACTCACGGCTTTCTGCATGCTCATCTCAGCACACACATGCCTACTCTCCTCGGTGTGCACTATTTAGCCTTTACGGTACTCAGTGTACCCAAAGCACTCATGAATATTCCACTTTCAGTGGGGTTGGGACCTCTCTCCAGGTTATGTTTGGTAGAGCTCACTGAGCCATTCACCTCTGCATAGGTATTTGGCTTGAAGTGAAATCAGTACCTTCTTTTCTCTTCAAGGTTTACTCAAGGAAGGTGGGATCTCCAAGCCAACAGTTTGTGGAATCTTTGATTCTTCTTGTTACACATTTTCACACTGCTCTTCAGAAAAGCTGAGCCAATTGCAATGTAGTGTCACCAATCATACAATGATATTTTACAGTTATATATGAATGTGGCTTAAAGGTGATGTAGTTAATGCCCACCCCCATTTTATACTTGAGAAAACTGAGGACCACAGAGATTAAATCAGTTTCCCCAAAGTCATTCAGCCAGTGGATGACAGATCCAGTTCTAGCGGCCATATCCTGATCCCACTCTCTGCTCTGTCGGTCCTCAGTCAGTGCTCTGTCTCAATGCTCTGGCCATTGTTTCTAGACACGGACGCAGAGGCTCTTCTTCCTTCCATTGCTTTTCTTCTCCCCATTGCTCTTTTTCCTCCCTCCTTCCAAGGGGAGGAAAACAGAAGCCAGTCCTTCCCCCTCATGGCTCCGGTGACCTGCAGACCATGTCTTCAGCTTCAGCTGGGTCTGTCCCCAAGCCCACTAGGTCCAAGTCCTGAAGAGCTCCTCAGGAGACAGCACAGCTGTGGCACAGGCTTCTACCTCTTCTTTTTTACAGTTGATTAAATTCTGGGGTAAACTGGTTATTTTCTGAAAAATAATTTTCATTAATATTCATTAGATGAATATTGGTAGTGGTGGTGGTGGTGGTGGTGGTGGTGGTGGGGAGTAGCAGAAGTTGTAGTAGTAAAGAATATCACAAAAAAATCCCAATTATTTGATGAGTTAACTTACAAAAAAAAGCCCAAGGATAATTATAACCCCAAGATCAGGCCCTTGCAACATTTATTAAGGTTCTCTCCCATTTCACTGGCCAGCTGATCCCTGCTTTGTCAATATTCCTATCTTTGAGACACTGCCCCTCAAAAGCCCAGAATTTAATCCTTGTAAAAGTTCTAAAAATAATGACCTAGCCCAAGATGCTTTACATACAACACCTCCCAGTCAAACTCCCATAACTGGGAGCCCTCCCCCTAATCATATTTCATGTCCCTGAGATCTTCCCCCAGCCACCCCAAATGTAATGAAAGTTAGTTGTAAAATGCAGGCATCAGTTTTTCAGAGGGACTCTCCCAACTTTTACTAGGCTGCTCTCCTTCACCAAATTCTGGGTTCTTCTAAGTTATCTCCCATAGCCTCCCCACCATCACCTCAAAGAGCAGCACATGGCACAGAGAAGGGGGTACAATGGTTTCCCACACCTGATGCCCCAGGAGACATCAGCTTTGTAGAAACAGTTGACCTTGTTCTTTGTGAAACTCGACCTTGGGGCTCACTTTTCAGATCTATGGGCAAAGGACAGTGTAGAAGTAGGGCTCACTGAGTGGGGTGTTATTGTTGTTCCCAACACCAATTCACTGATACTGTCTAGCCAGATTCCCAGTGCACTGGCTACCCAAATGTGAAATGATTATACCTGATGATTTTTCAAATTCTAGAGTAACACTACTGAAAAGAAGTACAATCTGGCTGCATATGAAATTTAAAATTCTTTGGTAGTACATTACAGGTGAAATTAATTTTAATAATATTTTTTATTTTGAAAATCAAAAATACTATTTTAACATGTAATCAATGTAAAAATATTAAGGAAACATTTTATATTATTTTCCAGTAGTGAGTCTTCAAAATCTATTGTGTGTTTACAGCACACCTCAATTGGGACAAGCTATATTTCAAGTGCTTAATTGTCACATAGGGCTAGTGGCTACTATATTGGACAGTGTGGTTCTAGAACATCAAAGTAAAACAACATAATCTCAAAATTTGAAAAGGTGCAAAATAGCTATTGTCTCACAGGTTAGAACAAACTGTCAAGCAAGGTTGAGCTGATTTTTTTTAATTCATTCTCAGCGTTTAAAAATCAGGAGCGTTCTTATGAAAGTCTGGATTTCTGGTTTCTTGTTTAAAACTGGAAATCCAGTAGCACTAGCTCATATTCCCTCATGGCAAACAGCTGCTAGAACTGACAAGTGATTGCCTTCTTTACTTGGAACAGGTTTGCCATGATCTCCAACAAATCTCCCTACTGAATTGCATTCAATGCACTGCACCTTCTTGGGACAGTCCATTGAACAATAACTAATTTGAAACCATCATTGAACTTGTTTCCCATATTACTTACAATGGAATGTGACAGCAAGAAGAGAAAGAATAAAATGAGTCACAAAAGGGAGAGGGAGACCCTGTAGCACCAAAGCCTCCATCCCTATGAAGCAATCAATTATGGGTAAAGGACAGGAAAAGAAACTTTATTTTGAAACAGGGATTATACTCAGAACAGTCTTAACATAAGTTCCCGTCTATACATATTTTCACTTTCGAGTGTCATTGGAGATATAAATTTGAATGCAAAAACATTCATAACGGTATGTTGTAGAGTGCAACCATCACCAACTAGAGCCACAGATGTAGGCATGAAATGTCTAATTCAAACCAATAAATTAAATACTTACAAACTCAATATTGCTTTTTGAGTAGTTCTCAGGGATTTCCAGTTGGTAATTTTCCATGACTTAATTGGAAAGATACATGGTTTTTTGCCCAAAAGTTGCTTTTGTAATGGATTTTTGCTTTTCCAAAATCATTTTGGAGGATTATCTATAACTAATATAAATGTAGAATGCTGTCAAGGTTGAGAGAAGGCGAGATAGTGGTGATGATGAAGAGTTCTAGCATATTTGGGGGATTTAATGGGCACTAGTGATCTATTTCTCCCACAGCACTGTAGAAAACGCATATACTCAGAAAACTCATCCACTTTGAAAATATAGGATAAACTGAATAAAAATTAAAAGTCTAATGGAAAGGAATGCATGCTGGAAGGATGGTAGAGGTGAACAGAGAAGCAAAAAGTATTCAAGAGCCGTGGTACATACCTACCTTGGGTGGAAGTATACAGTTCTAGAAATTCCTATCGATGGTGAGAGTTGAGTGGGTTTTTTTTTTTTCTCCAAAAGCTATTTTAGGTTACAACTAATAACACTGTAGGACTCCTAGGAATTCTCATCATTTGACAGTCTCCTTGCACACCTAAAATTCTATAAGGAACTGTTCCCTTTGTGGTTCTTTCCATGGCCCTTTATTCAATTGCTCACTAATAAGGTACTGGGTCCTGGTGTCCTGAACCTGAGGTAGGAAGGAAATACTCTCAAACTTATTGACCTAATCAATATTTATAAAACACTACCCCAACAACTGCAGAATACATATTCTTTATGCCTCTGGGAACTTTGAGTGCCTTGGAATTTTTGCTGAAGGGGAATGAAGGCCTGCCCTGTCTCTCTGCCTCACCACAATGACTTTCTGTTTAGCAGTAAGCCAGTTAGTCATCCAGAATAATGAGAAGTATATTGGTAAGTGTTATGAAAAGAGCGAGATGAAGTAAATCGATAAAAGTAAAGTCTTAGAACAACACCTGGTGCTTAGCTCTATAATCATGTCAGCTAAAGTTTTGACTACCTGAAAGTACTGGGAAAGACAGGACCCAACAGGATAACAGGGTGGAAGGGTGTCCTGAGTCTGGGTTACAGGGAGGATATTCCTCCCACGTTCTCAGGGCCATGTAGATGTCACAAGAGTGACTCCTTCCCCAGAAACTCCAAGCTGGTCAGGAACTTGCAGAATGTATAAATTGTAGGCAGTTCCCCTGACTAATTGCTTCTGAGGAGCTGCCTGCTAACGCCCCTCTCAGAACTGTGGGGGGAGGGTTTACTCTTATTTGTCTTTGTTGCTGCTACTGCTTCTGCTACTGTTTTTCACTGCTTTGAGTGTTGAGGTCTGTGGGGCTGGGGCACAGGAGGTGTCCAGATGGAACATGGTGGGAGCTTTGGAGTCCTGCTTTTGCTTTTCCCCTCCAGGCTGGGGCACAAAGCATTGATCCCCATGGGAGAGATGCCAGTGTCCTCAGGAATAAGATAAGAATCTCAGGGCATGAGAAGTGCCTGTTCCCCACCAAAAGGAAAGCACAGTCCATGCCTCCCACATTCACACATATGTGCTTCACCCTGAACACCAATGGGGCTCTTGACATGTGGTGAACATGCTTTCAGAACATAGCCACTATCAGAACATGCTGGTTGCCACTGTTATTATTATGAAAAGGAGCCAGAATGCTCCATGGGTCTGTCCAGGGGATAAGACTGTGTATGACTCCTAAAATGCAAATATCTGGACTGTAACACAACTGCTCTCTTAGCCATTCCAGACCCCTGGGGGCAGCAGCAGTGGCCTGGTGGGAGTCTGAAGAAGGTCCCCACAACTGGAAAAGGGAGGTCTCTTTCACCCTCTCTGGTTAGAAATGAACTCATAGGTGCTCTTCTCCCTTTTTTGTGCAAATGTTTGTAAACCCACAAAATGTATGCCTCTACCCAGCTAAGGGCTGAATGCCAACCACCTGGTTGGTGTCAGGCTGACAGGAGAAGAGATCATTCTTACCAGGGTTTCAGGGAGCACCACCACAGGACAACACGAGTGCCGGAGTAGCCGGCCCATTCTCCACATGGTGAGCGGCACGACCACAAGGATTAGCATGAAGCCAACAAAGGCAAACAAGGCCAGCACCAGAGGGAGGGCTTCTCCTGAAATGAAAAGATAAGAACAGGCTCAGGAGACCAAGGTGCAGGTGCAAGCTCCCATCCTGGGCCTGGGGATGGCTCTGCACATCAGCCAAGGCAGCAGATACCAAAATCCTAAAATGGGATATATGTCCTAGAGACTAAAAGTACCACCACTAAAACCATTTTTCTAGAATCCAGACTAAGGCATGATTTCCAGAAAGCCCCAGGGAAGATTAAAATCTTTTTCTAGGCAAGGGGAAGGGAGGGGCATCATCTGTTAAGCCACTTGCTGTGTTAGCACGTAAGTTGGCCCAGCTGCCAGGAGGAAGGCAGAGAGCCAGGCCCAGTGCAGGATGAGGGGTAGGCACTGACAGCACAGAAGGGATCTGGGCGGTAACTGAAAACAAAGTGTGTTTCACAATTTGCTCTTGGCATTGACTCTATTATGGAGGAAAATACTGAGTTCAGACAACAGTCACGTTACACCTATAATAATAATATATCATGCCTCTACCGTGGTTAGGTGACTTACCCCAGGTCACACAGGTAGGGCTGGTAGTACAGCCCACAATCATTTTGTTAAGTAATTGTATCAGAAAGTGCCAACTCCTAGCATCTGGAGGTGCGAAAGGGGAAAAGTGTTACTGTCTCACAACTCTCTGTTCCACATAACCTTAAACAACTCATTTAGCCCCTCTGGATCGGGCTGCTCACCCCCACTAGGGAGGGTGGTGGAACAGTCACGGAGGCTGCAGAGAAGCAGGAGGACTGACATATGTGCCTGAGCGCACTCTACACTGTTTCAGTGCTTTTGAAAAATATTTTGGCAATACACATCAGGAGATACACAAACGTTCATACCCTTTCATCCACTCCTGTGAATGGATTCCAAAACAATAGATCCAAAGGAGACAATTGCAGGTATTAATCAGCTCATAGCAACATGTGAACCAGAGCAACAGCCTCAAAGGCACAACAGCCTTTGCCCGAAGTGCCATATTGCCACCTCTCACACCTCATAGCATATTCAGCACATTTTCTTCATAATTTGTATCACAAAGTGAGACTATTTCATTTGCTTACTTCTTTGTAGTCTGTCTCCCCAACTAGAGTTTAAGCTCCACAAGGGCAGGGACTTCCCTGCCATATGGCAGTGACTAGGCCAGCACTTAGCACATAGTTGACCCTCAATCAGCACTTCTAATCAGTAAATCAGTGAACATCATCTCCAAAAGCAAAGGGAAATTATCTAAATACCCCCAAGTAAGGGATGATTTACTATGTTATGGGACATCAGCATGCAGTTTAGGAATTCAGTAATTAAAATGAGAATTAAGGGCCTCTCTGGTGGCACAGGGGTTGTCTCAGCACTATTACCACTACGGCCTGAGTTTGATCCTGGCCAGGGAGGTGATCCACATATGGCGCAGCAGGCCTCTCCTGTCTCGCCCGCTGCTCCCCTCAGCAGTGTATTTCAGTAAAATCCACCTGTTCTGCTCCCCACTCTGACTCTGGTGAATCCTCTACCACCCCCCATACGTCTAGTCTGCACCCCAGTTCTTCAATGCAAAAATTAAAAATAATAAAAAATTTTTTAAATGAGAATTAAAGATACATGAGCTTGTTCATTACAGCATTCATACAGATCTATAATGGCAATGGAAAGCACAAAATACACCCATTAATAATTAAAATACACCCATTAAGGGGATGGTTATGTATATTTTTGTACATCCACGTATTGGCATACAATGTATCTTCTTTTAGATATATATGTATTGGCATATAAACATGTTCACAATATACTACTAAGTGTAGACAAGCAAGATACAGAAGAGTGAGCACAGTCCAAGTGTACTTGTGAGTATTAGATTCACATGGTGACAGGAAGATTAAATGCCAAACTTGCCAAAGGAAGCCTCCTGAGTGGTGTGGGGGAGAAGAGAGAACCTGTACCTCTTACTTAAAATACTTTTGTATTGTTGAAATTTTTAAAAAGCCTGACTTACAGAAAATATAATAAGTTTGTTTTTAAAAGTATTAAATGGTAATTAGAAAGTCTACACAGAAAATGTTACAGTTAGATTTGTAAAAAAACAGGTACCAGGCCTCCCTAGTGGCTCAAGGGGTTAAGACACAACCTATGAAGCTATCCACAGCCACTGCAGCATGAGTTGGATCCCGGCCAGGGAGCTACCCACATGGTGCAGCAGACCTCTCCTGACTCGCCTGCTGCTCCCCTCAGCAGTGTATTTCAGTCAATCTGCCTCTTCTGTTCCCCACTCTGTCTCTGGTAAATCCTCTCACTGACCCTCACACCTCTGGCCTGTACCCCAGTTCTTGTACGCATAGATAAATAAATCTTTAAAGCACTAAAAAAAAAAAAAACAGGTACATTGTGTGTGGGCAAAACAACTACCAGCTTGGTCTGCACAGGGGCAATCATGGAAGAATAACACTCCTCTGGAGGGCAGTTTGGGAATGGTGGTCAAAATTCACATGTATGTGCCTTTCACCAAGCTACTCTACTTCTAGAAATTTATTCTTCAATTATACTAGCAAAATTATCTATGGACAAGGTAATTATTGGGTTGTTGGAAGTCATGATGTCTTTTTTTCTATGTTTGTCAAGCAAAAATGCATCATGACTTTTCCAACAACCCAATAATTAAAGCATGAACTCTAACAGCAAAATATTAGGAATAAAAATAAATGCCCATCTGTAAGTTCTCTTCCAGCTGAAAGCAGCTCTGATGTACCTTGGGATGCCTCCTCCCAGGTCTGATGCTCTTGCCCCTGGTGCCTCTCCTATAATCCCCCCTCTGACTTGCAGGCAGTTACCATTTGGTAAGCCAGCCTGAGATATTCAGTCTCGGGCCTAGGGAGGTTTCAGTGGAAAAGTGTTCCAAACAGCTCAAGGGAATCCTGCCCAGCCCAAGTGGTTTTTTGTCTCTAGAGGAATTAAAGCAATGCATACTTTCACCACAGGAACCTACCCAGCATTGGGTGAAAGCAGGCAAGGGGAGACTCAGAGCCAAAGGAACTCAGTAGGCAGCCAAGCGTCCACTAGAGAGGGCCCTCACCTGTGCAGAGTTTCAAGGAACAGGCAGGCCCTTCTTACCTTGCACCTTGACACATTCTGCCTGGCTGAAGGTGCTGTGCCTCCCAATGGCCCTCACAAAAGTCTGGGCTTTCACACAGTATGCAGCCCCTGGCTTCATGGTTTCCAGATGCACTGGTGTGCCCCCGCTCCTCACCATTTTGATAAGTTCCTTTAGGAAACCAGAAACCAGTTACACCGTGAGGGAAGCAGGACAGGAAAGGGCAAAAAGAATCAGGAAGGAAAGCTGCAGATATTTCCTTTACAGGATGCATGCAGAATGTTCCCTCTCATTCATTCACTCATATTTATTTATTAAGCACCTACTATGTGCCATGCACTATTAAGACACTGGGACATAACTTTAAACCAAAAAAAATCTCTGCTGTCATGGGACTTACGAAAGGTAAAGCAGGGAGGAGGGTGTCAGACAATATATAATAAATGTCAGGTAGTGATAAGATCTGTGAATAAAAAAAAGGAAGCAGGGCACAGAGGTAGAGAGTGATAGGAGGCACTGAATGGAGTAGCTAGGGAAGAACTTCCTGATAGGATAGAACTTGGACAGGGATCTGAGTGTCATATATCTGACTGGGCCCGAGGCACAGCATAGCCACTGTTGTGAGGGGGGATCAGGGTGCAGGAGAAATGGAGTGGGCAGTGTCTCTTTGTGCACCATCCATCCACCCATCTGTCCATCCATCTGTACACCATCCACTTCACACCACCTGCGGCCTGCACTCCATGTCTAAACCTGTGGAGATTTGTGTGGGCCAAGCCCAGATGACTCAGGTACATGCTCCTCTTTCTACACTGGCCCTGCTAGTTACCAAGGGTGGAGAGTAGGCTCCATGCCAAAGAATCTGAGGGAGATGCATGCTCCCTCCTGCCTGGGCCCTGTCCACCATGCCACTCCATCTGTCTGTTTGGCAATGTCAAATCCTACCACTGGGCCCTGACCCAACAGGAGTAAGTACTAGAAACCATTGTAATTGCCGGCCCTGCCTAGCCGCATAACCCTTCGGGGGAAGTTACCCAACCTGCAGTCCTGTTGAGCAGGTGGTAGAGCATGGGCCCTGCCCAGCAGACCCTGCTATAAAGTCAAAGTTACCCTGGCTTAGAAGTTTCATTCAGAGGCCAGCCAGCAACCTGAGATTGCTATGCTTGATCAAGATAAGCAGGACCATTCAGATTTCGTCCCCTAGGAATTTATCTGTGGAAACTGACTACTTGGAGCTAGAGGCAGCGACAAGGGGAGAGACACAATGAAGGGAAATCAGGCCTGAGCATTCAGGGGCTGTAGAGACATGGCCCTAGGCATGTGCAGGAAAGAGTGATTGGGTTTTGGGAACTAGAGTGAGCTGGGAAGAGAACCACAGAAAGAGTGCAATAGAAAGACCCAGTGGAGGGAGGCAAGGACTCGCAGGATAGTGTCTGTGAGTCTGTGCTGCAAGCTTTCCCTGGACCTGCTCTGTTCATGGATTCCTGTGCCCTATCAACTCTTCTGATATAGACTATTTTTTGTTGTGCTGCCTGGAGCAGGTCTTATCATCTGACAGCATGGTTAGGCCTTCGTAGGTCTGACTGTCCCCTGGTTCCTGCTCAGGCTGCCCCCTTTCTACTGCTGCTACTGCTGCTTGTTTGGCTACTTCCTCTGGGAGGGTTGACCTCCCAACATACCAGCCTGAAGCACAGAGAGGGACAGTGCCCCATTTAGGCACTCATAAGCCAGCTTCTGTCTCTCTGCTCCAACCCAGCACCCTACCTGGATACACACCCTCAAGAGGCTTGTGCTAACCTCATATGCTTTTCAAATCATCCAGTTGATCTGGAACACCCTGGCCTGCTGCCCCTAAATATATCAGAAAAAAATGGCTGAAAAAATAGAATGAGTGAGAAAAAAAAATGCATTTGAGAGGCTTTGTGTAACCAACTGTATTAGAATTTAGGACAGGGAGGCGGCCCCCTTACTTCAGCAAATTTGGCCTGAGAAGGCTGCCTGCCCAGGCCTGGGTGGCACCAACATAGTTCTTTGAAGAAGCTGCTGGGATTGTCAGCCTACTTCATCTCTTCTTCCCGCCCTCACCCAGGCCTGCTCACCCTCAAGCTACCACAGACAGCAAGCACAGCAAGGGCCGACTCCCCTCACCCAGGTCTCAGAGGTGTGTGCCTCCATCTCCAAAGCCAGATTTAAAGGTCAAGCTCAGAAATCTCACCTTGGCACCAGGTTCCCTCCTCCAGTAGGCCACAAGGAACTCAAACTGGGGCCCCAGGTTCTCCAGTTCAATGACCAGATGGAAGCCATCTTTCATGACCTTCATCCCAGGTGGGGTGAGGATGGCTGTTGGCAAGACAAGAGGAGAATCAAAACCAGTCCCAGACTGGACTGATTTCTGTCCTGAGAGACAATAACCCAGTCCCAGGTAGAAGCAATTCAGGCTCATGGAGAAGGGAGGGGCCTGATCATAAATTCATAGTATGCTGAGCACGTACACCAGGACTCTTCTGTGCTCAGCAGGCGCTCTGTAAATGTTTTTGAGTGATAGCAAATGAGCAGGTGGGGGGAGACTGACTTACTACAATTCCCTTTTGACTCCTCTTCTTGACTATAATAAAGTCCTCTCTTCCTCTTTGAGGAGATATACACACTCAAGAAAGGTGACTAAGTACTCAGTATCTCTGTTTTAAAATTTTATAACCTATGTTCCTCGTTTTATTCATCTTGGCAGAAATTGCTCTGCACCTTGGCTCATCTAACTGAGCAGATGCTATATCTTAAGCCCTGCCAAACACCTACATGAGGTCCGATCTCTGCTGAACACAGCGGGGCCAATCTGCACGTTCAAACAAACATCCCTGGCAGAAGCATGTGTATCCTGTGGCTAACCTAGATCAGAGATCTGTACTGGCGCTGATGACTTTCAAACATCAGCCCATCAGCAGCCTATGGGCTGGCCATTCTAGCCTATGGGCTGGCCATTCTAGTCTATGCCCAAGGACTCTTCATCTCACATTGGAAAGTCAGAGGGTTTTACAAATTATTAGAAACATCTGTAAAAATTACAGCATAAGCATAAATACCACCTTTCACATTGCTAGATCCCAAACAGAAAGACCAGCAGCCCCAGGAATACTTTCCCAAGAGCACACTAAGAACCAAAGGGCCCACACTGGTCAACTCTTGGCCCTGGCTACTGAAGATGGAGTCAAACTTGCCTCTCAGATTCAGACACTGCAGGACGAGAAAGGCCAACCAATCATTGGCCTTAGCTTGGCAAGTAGAGTGTGGGGTGTTCTAAGTCAGATCCCCCTGCTTTGGGATCCATGGATACACAGAAGAAAGACAGTTCCTGGAGAGTGTTTTCAGGGAGTCAAGTTCCTGGTATTTGAAGAGTTGCCTGGATAAGGGACACAAGGGCTTGGGGAATCAAGAACCAAATATGGAAAATATACCCAGTTCAGAGACTTCATGGGGCAATACAGGCCCACTAGAAAGCAGCATCCCTACCTCTGAAACACCTCCAGAAGGAAAAGAGAGCTTTCACTTCTCCAGTTTTAAGTCAAATATAACTAAAATTGGATCCTCTGCTCTCCATCACTGGAAATAGAGGAAAAGACTGTTATTTCAGCTCAGAGGAAAATTTTTTGACAGTGTGAAGGCAGGAACCTCTGTCCTATACACTCTGCATATTTAATTTCATTTGATCCATCCAGCATGTTTTAGAAGGGAAATAGTATCCCGACTGAACAGATGATGGAACTAAGCATCAGAGAGGCTGAGTAATTTTCTAAGATTCACACAGTAAATGAAAAAATTTGAGACCATTTCTCTCCACACTTCTAGACTTAGGTGTGTGGGGTGTTTAGCCTCTGTACCAGTAGATTTCCACCCTGCTGATTATGAGAACAACTGGGTAGGAGATTTTAAACCTCCAATGAACAACATACACACAGATCATTTAAGTCAGACTCTCTGGGGATGGGCCTCAGTCATAAGTGTTTCTAAAACTCCTCTATGACTCAACCATGACACTGAGGTTAAGAATCTCTGCTCTCAACAAGACTTCCCTTTAAGAATAGGTGAGACTTTGCAGGTGAGACTTAAAACAAGATTTTTCACATCTGTGGGGAAAAATTAGCATGGCCTTTTTCAAAGGCAAAAGAATAAATGTAACGCCCTTAGGAGTTATGAGTCCATCCAAGTTCTGAAGCTAACTCCTCCTGCACAAGTTCACACAGGACACATCTTCTGCCCTCTTGGGTGAAGGTGCAGAGTCGGCTGTTCCTCAGCATCTCCTACCGCAAGACCTTTTTCTGTTTATATTGGCCTTCTCAAAAACAAGTTGTTACTACACACTGCCGCCCACAGAGTTTTGTAGGCATTTCCTTATCTCCCTCTGACTCTGGCCTTTCTTCCCAGCAACAGTGCCAGCAAGCAATGGTCTTGGCTGGAGCACCATGCTCCAGGGCAGATGGTGCTGGGTGCTGCCTGGGCTCTACCGGCAGAGGTAGAGCCGCACATCATCCTTCAGCCTGGCACTGGAATCCCACTGCTTCTACTGTGTCCTCCCAATGCCTTGGAAAAGAGGCCTGGGCAGAGAAGCCCACAGTCTGCTCTAAAATTCCTATTGGTATCCCATTCCAACGGTCCTGTAGGGGCAGGAATGGACATAGTGCAGGTTTTCTATGCTCCAGCAGACCAGTTAAAGGAGGAGTCAGAGCCCTCAGTGGCTTTTTGCAGGCTTTTATTTAGATTTACCAGGCATATGGCAGGCAGGGGTGCTGGGGGGCCGGGAGGCTGGCAGGCCTCCTAGCCCCCAGCAAATCCTCACTCTATCTGGGCTCTCAGGCATTCTCTGGGGGTCTCCTCTCAGCTTCCATTCGTTCTTGGCTTCTTCTCGGCTTCTGCTGGCGTCCCCGTGACACCGCCCTTAAAAGCGCAGTCTTAGCCCAGGTGAATCCCATCTACCTATGCCCACACTCTACTCCAGGTGCCCGCCATCAGGCATGCATTCAGGACCACAAGGATCCATCATCTATCCTGATGGCAGGAGGGCAGAAAAGCCTGACATTTTTCCTTACCCTACAGGTCCCTTTCCTGGCCCAACCCCTTCCCTCCACTGCTCCTGGCTCTCAATTTTGGGCATAGCTTGGCCAATTATAATATAATAATAGTAATAGCAATTCTTAGCAGTAGTTGAGTGCTGTGATCAGACAGCCCTGCACTGAGCATTTACACATTTCATCTCATATAGCACAACTATCCAATGAGGCAAAGTGTGGCCCTTTGGCAGGGACAGAGCCATGAAGTGGCTGAGCAGGGATTTGAACATCTGTCTGATTCTAGAGAGCTAATGGCCTCTTGAAACCTATCTCTACCCATCTTTTGCCCCACCCTACTTAGTTAAACCTCCCCCCTCTAAACCTTCCTGATCTCTACCCAATCTCATACTCTCCTCAGTAAACTTTGGCTCATCCCATCACTGCTCCAAGCTTTCCTCTGGCCTCACTCACAGCTGAGGATCTTCTGCCACATCAAGAAAACAGAGGTCACTAACGGCCTTTTCCATGCCTTTTCTGCAGCTCCCAACTGGTCATATTACCACCCACACCTGTCTCAGGAGGAGCTGCCTTGCTCCTTCTCACCTCCCCCGAGTCCTTCACTCTGGCTGCCTCACTGCCATCCCCACCGTTCCATGAAGCCCCTTTCTCAGGACCCAGCCACAGCCCTCTCTTGGGCCTATCAACAGTTCTTCTATTCTCCTTTCCATGACCCTCAACCTGCCCAGCCACCATTGAGTGCTCAAGGTTCTCGAGGATCCTTCCCTGGCTTCTTATCTTGTCCCTGGACATCTCATCTGCTCCCAAGCCTTTAGCTGTTATCTTTGTGCTGTGTGTCTGGTCCCGATCAGTCTGAGTCCCAGCTGTCATCAGACATCTGTGACATGATATGTCATAGAATTCTCCCCAAGATTAGTTGCCCCTCCTGGGTTCTCTTGGATAACATTCTCACCAACTAAAAGTTGGACACTGTCACTGCTTCTTCCCACTCCATTTTCACCCAGTAAAGTGTCCCTGGGCTCTGTCCTTTTTGACTAGTCATGTCTCTTGAATCTGTCTCCTCCTCATCTCTCCCCAACTCCTGGGATCAGGACCTACGTTGGCTCAGCTAGAGCGTTAGAACTCCGTCCGCATTCTTCCCCCGCCCTGCCGATTTGTCCTCCTCCCATTAACTTTTCAAGCAGAAGCCAGACCTGGCTAGAACCACTCTTTTTCCATAACTCCCCTCTGCTGGTTTCATCAAGCTTCATATCAAAGCTCATCACCATGTGACCAACTGGCTATCCAGTCCCTGCTCCCAATGTCCCCCAAACATGTGTTGGCCATTGCTTCCATTCTGCCATATTTGGCTACATAGCTGGATTCTTCCAGTATTCCTTTCTCAATCATTTTCCAGGTACAATTGCTAGAGAAAGATTATTTATTTCCCAATGTCTATGTCTGGTGGCTCTACTATAAATCTTATTACACAAAGAAGCTGCTCACAGAGGCAACAAATATGGCATTAATGAGGTACCAGATGGGAAGAAGTATAAGGTTTATTTAGGCAATATCAAGGTAGAAAGAAGCAGCCATAGCCCCACTTCCAGAGCAGCTTTCCTTCCAGGTTCCTAAAATCAGTATCCCACCACCTGCAGAAACTGACAGAGACAGTCAGGAATGGCTTTCAAGGTCCCTCTCAAAATGAGAAAGACAGCAGATGGGAAGCAGTTGGCAAGTTTTTAAATGAACCAGTTAGGGTTCACAGCACTGTTGCTTTGCAAGACTAATTTGATGCTAAAAAGAATCCTGAAAATCTCAATAAGCATGCTCCCTAAAGGTGAGGTTCACAGGAATGGGAGAGTAAGAGAAGTGCCTTACTTGAGTTTCGATTAAAGGGTTGGTTCAGGGTGCTCCAGGCTGAGGTCTGTGAGCCCAGGGAGGCACTGACACGGAGGTTGTAGGGCACAGTGGCAGTGATGTCATCAGTGATGTCGCATTCAGGACCTTCAGTGGGTGAGCACCAGCTGCTGGGGATCCAGATGTGACTTGTGTACAAGCTCTCATACTCTCTGCTCAAGGAGAGGAGGGCCCAATGTCACACCAGTCCCTTCCATGCAGGCCCAAGCATAGTTGCAGATAGCTGCCTTATTCTTCTACTTTTTATGGATCCACAAAGTAAGAATCTGGTCCCTCCATCTCCATAGTCACCACCCCAGTCATAGCCACTGTCATCCTTATCTTCCTGTGAGCATCTGATGGATCTTCCAGCTTCTATTTCTGCTTTCCTTCAAAGCATTCATCACTTAGCAGATCATGACATTTCTCTCTTAATGGCTTTCCAAAGCATTTAGAATGGAATCCAAACTCTTTGCGATGGCCAACAAGAGTCTCTGGTCTGCTCTCTCCCTCTGCCCCTAAACACCATGTTCTCTGAACTGGCCTCTTTATCATTGCTTCATCATGCTGAGCTCTTTTACCTTAGGACTTTTTTACTAGTTGTTCACTCCATCTAACATTTTCTGCCCTGCTCTTCCTGTGGCTGGCTCCTCGTGCCCTTCAAATATGGGCTTAAATATTAAATGCCCTCAGACAGGCCACTGTCAACTCTATACTGCCTCAGCTTTTTAACTTCTTCCTGTCAGTGATTACCATCTGAAATTGCCTAGAGTGGTAGTGCCCAGAACTTTCTGTAATAATGAAAATATTTTATATGGGTGTTGTTTAATAAGGTAGCCAGTAGATACATGAGACTATTAAAACCTTGAGATGTGATGAGTGTAATTGGGGAACAATTTAATTTATCTTTAATTCATTTCAATTTAAATAGCTGGTTCCTACTCTAGACAGTCCAGACCTAGCATATTCATTTCTTTAACTTTTCACTGTCTGTCTCCCCCTCTAAATAAGCTTTTAAGATCCAGTAACTTTGCAGACTGTGCCCCAAGCTCTAGAAGGATGTCTATTCATGTGACTGCTCAGCTGTACCCTTTGTTAATGAAATACCTTGCAGAACTTCTGTGTTCCTATCACTCCCCAACAGGGCCTGGACACCTGGAGAACAGAGCTGGCATGGCCCCAGAGCCAGCTGACCTTTAAGGTCACAATTTGTTTTGTGTCCAGAAGGCAAGCTCATAGTCAGAAAAACTGAGGCCTGGTCTAACTCCACCTCCAAGGGCTCTGAGTCTCCAATAATTTGTCACCTCAAGTCAGAGTCAAATTCATTTCTTAAGATTTCCTTCAGCACAGGACAGTTGATGCACTATTGAAAAGATCCACCAAAAGGTATATATAGACATGTGTGTTCCTGGAGAGGTCACTGTCACATCCACAAGACAATTCCCTTGCTGCTTCAATTCTCCTAATACCCATGCAGACAAAGGAGCGAATCTCTGGAAGTCATCTATCCCTGGGATCTCAAAGCCTCCCTGAGTTCTAGAGGATGACTGTGCCTCCAGGAATCAACTACTGTTAAAGGGAGGAAAACTAACAACAACACACAAAAAAAAACTAAAAAACTCACCCCTGGTACTCAACAGAATAGTGTATTATTTCTCCAGGCACAATCACTGGGCTCCACCTGAAGAGATGCTTCATGTTGGTTGATTGTACAGAGAGGTTCTGAGGGGCAGGCAGAACAGGCACTCCATCTGGGATCAAGGCAGATAGACAGGCTGATGAGTGGGTTCATAATGGGGAATCCCACAGCTACACATTCTTTTACAATAAAAGACTTTACATTTTGAATCAGAAACAACTTTATAATTTTATCCTATTTGCGTTAATCCTAAATTTTTTCTATCATCATTATAACTATGTTTTTGGTGATAAAATGGCATATGAATGTTATACAAAATAGTAGTTAATGTTATTTTTTATCATATCCTGTCTAAGCCATGTACTAGATTGTTACATGATTATCTCATTTGATCCTCAGGACCATGCTGGGAGGTAAGGACCTTTAGTTTCTCTGTTGCTCAAATGAGATAACTGAGGCACCTTGTTTACAACTGTTTTTTCTAAAAAAGATTTTTTTATTTATACAAGAACTGGGGTATAGTCCAGATGTGCAGGAGAGTGAGAGGATTCATCAGAGACAGAGTGGGAAGCAGAACAAGCAGACTGACGAAATACACTGCTGAGGGGAGCAGCGGGCAAGACAGGAGAGGTCTGCTGCGCCATGTGGGTTGCACCCAAGCCAGCCGGGATAGAACCCGTGCTGCAGAGGCTGCAGACATCTTCATAGTGTGGTGCTCAACCACCTGCACCACCAGGGAGGCCCTTGTTTACAACTCTTATAGCAGAAAAACCTAGATGCAAGCCTGACTCTGCCGCCTACAAAATACATGACCTTAAGCAAGTTATATAAACCTGAGCCTCCCACCCCTACGTGGCAAACCCATGTAGGCACCTGCCAACTTTCATCACACCCCTCTTTTGCTACTGCCATCTTCAAGTACCACAGCATGTTCCTTCACATCCCCCCACAAGGCCAAATGAGGCATTCGCCACCATCTGAGAAGTGCAAGTTTCAGTCTGCTGTGCAGTCAACCCAGGGGGCACCAAGCCAGCTCGGAGACTCTACCCCAGGCAGACTGCAGGCCCTTGAACCAGCCTGGGGCATTGGCATAGCTCATATAGGTGTGTGTGGTGTGTGTGTATCTATACATAGTGAATCTACACAGGGTGAAAATGGCTGGTGAAGCTGAAACTGCACTCATAAGGATTTTGAGCAGCCCAGAAGCTCATCCTTGCATGTACCCGGGGTTGTATTCTGGACTTTCTACTATGGCCCTTCTCTCCCCACTTTCACATGCTCCTCCTTTAATTTGCAACACCTGCCTCCTCTTGCTGTTACAGTAGCAGTGATAACATCAACACACAGTGTGGGGGGACTGAAACCCTTGCCCTGAGACTTTTCATCTCTGTGCCTGTCTCTATATTGGCACCTGCTGTTTGTTATCATGCTCTGGAGGGGATCAACCATGAGGGGGTGAGGCTGTTGGGGACACCGCAACTGGTTCCCCCGCTTCTTCTTTAGTGTAGGACCCTAGTGATGTACCTCCATCCTACCCTCCAGCTTCCCATAGTCTGCTCTACGAGGAAACACCTGGGGTACCCACAAGAGGGGCTTCCTGACCTCCCCACCCCTAATCTTGCAATCAACCATGGGATGAAAAGGAAAGGGGCAGCTGCAGAGGGCTGACATTAGAGGATGTCTTTGACATCCTTCCTTTGGTAAAGTCTACAAAATATTTCTCTACTCAAGTATGTGGAGAATGTAAGGCTGTGTAAATATAAATATATATGTTATCATTTAAAAGCTTTCAAAATAGAAATTTCTTAAAAATAAAATGTTTTCACTACAGAAGGCTACTAAATATTTGAAGAAAATGTAACACCAATTTTACACTCTCTTCCAAACAATGGAAGAGAATAAAAACGCTTTCAATTTTATTTTATGAGGCCAGCATTATCCTGATATAAAAATTAGGAAAAGGTAGTAAATATTTTTAAAAACCAGAAAACTACAGAACAATGTATTTCATGCAACTAAATGCAAAATGTTCAACACAATATTAGTAATCCAAATTCAATCATGCATAAAAAGGATTACATACCACAGTCAAGTGGATTAAAAAAAATCAATTAATGTAAACCTCCATATCAACAAGCTAAAGAAGAAAAATCATATGATCATATCAATTGGCACAGAAAAAGCATTTACAAAACCAGACACCCATTAATGAAGTTTTTTAAAAAAAAAACTCTTCAGGTTAAGAACAGCAGGGAGGGCCTCCCTGGTGGTGCAAGGGGTTAGGACGCAACTTATGAAGCTGTCCACAGCCTCTGCAGCACGGGTTCAATCCCCTGCCAGGGAGATAATCTCTTGGCGCAACAGACCTCTCCTGGCTCACCCGCTGCTCCCCTCAGCAGTGTATTTCAGTCAATCCACCTGTTCTGCTCCCCACTCTGTCTCTGGTGAATCCTCTCACCCCCCCAACTCTCCAACTCTGACCTGTACCCCAGTTCTTGTAAGTATAAGTAAATCTTTAAAAAAAAAAAAACAGTAGGGAGTTACTGAACCTGATAAAAATAACCTACAAAAAATCTATAGCGGGCCTCCCCGGTGGCGCAGCGGTTGAGCGCTGGGTTGCGAAGCTGCCCGCGGCCTCTGCAGCGCCGGTTCAATCCCCGGCTGCTCCCCGGCCACCGGAGGAGGGTCCCACATGGTGCGCAGACCTCTCCTGCCGCCCGCTGCTCCCCTCAGCAGTGTACTTCGGTCCTTCTGCCTACTCTGCTCCCCGCTCTGGCTCTGGTGAATTCTCTCACCCTCCCGCGCTTCTGACTGTACCCAGTGCATGTATAAACAAAACAAACAAGCAAACAAATAAATAAAGAAAAACATGCCTCTATTAAAAAAAAAAAATCTATAGCTAGTATCTTATTTAATAGTAAAAACTGAATGTTTTTCCCTAAAATAAGGAACAAGGCAAGATTGTCTGCTCTCACCACTTTTATTCAACATAGCATTAGAAGTTCTAGCACCTCAATATGGCAAACTAAAGCAGTAAAAGACATTCAGATTGGAAAGAAAGTAATAAAATCCCTCCTGTTTGCAGGCAACACAACATTTTAAAAGTTCCTAAACTAATGGGAATTCAACAACTTCACAGGCTACAAGAAAAACACAAAAATTAATTTCATTTCAACATGTTAACAATGAGCAGTTACATGCTAAAATCAAAAATACCAGTTACAATCACACAGAAACAAAAAACAAAATACTTATTGTAAATCTAACAAAACATATCTAGGACTTGCATAGGGAAAGTACCACATTCTGGAGAAAGATATCAAAGAAGATCTATATAAATGAAGAGACATACTGTGTTCATAGATAGGAAGACTGTGTTCATAGATTCAACATATCTAAATGGTTATTGTCCCAAACTTATATACAAATTTAACACAATTCGTATCAAAGATCCAGTAAGGATTTTTTGTGGATATAGACAAGTTTTTTTCTAAAATTTATATAAGAAAGGAATCAGATTTAAAACAATTTTGAAAAAGAGTAAAATGGTAGGAATTTCTCAATCTTAAGATTTAGGATAATTAAGATTGTGTGATATTGGCAAAGGAAGAAACACATAGATCAACTGAATAGGATAGGGACCCCAAAAATAAACCCACACAAATATGCGCAAGAGATTATTTGCAAATGTACAGAAAGCATTTTAATGGAGCAAGGAAAGTCTTTTTAACAGATAACTTTAGAACAATTGGACATCTGCTGGCAAAAAAAAAAAAAAAACTGTAAGTGGATCAAAGAATTAACATAAAATGTAAAACTCTAAAACTTTTAGGAAAAAAATAGAAAATCTTCAGGGCTAGCCAGAGAGTTCTTACACTTAACAACAAAAGCAAGATCCATAGGGGAAAATATTTATAATTGACATCATCAAAATTAAAATCTTTTGCTGTGAAAAAGAACAGTAAAATTTCAATAAAAAAGTACGACTAAAACATTATCACACCTAAAAAAAAAAAGAACTGTTAATTCTAATTATCTGATGACAGGATATATAAAGACAGGATATATAAAATATCATGATGGGATGATGAAAAAGATGAAATTCTATAATTAGGTCCAGTTAATTATCTCCATGAGGGAGAACTGTGTTAGGTGAGACACCTGAAGGTAACAGCATTTAAGACTTTAAGCAGCACACTCGGAGGTTGAATTATTGGCTATGTCTTTCTTCATGAGGCATGCTGGCAGGAAAGCAGAAAGGTGTCTCACCTTTTAAATAGTAATAATTTGCACATGTGACCCTCTCTTCCTACCTGTGAAGATCTAACTCCAGGATACCCCAAATATTCTATCTCATTCTGTATTGAAATAAAAACTGCTGGGCCTCCCTGGTGGCCTAGGCATTAAATCTCAGCACTAACACCACTACAGCCTGAATTCATCCCCCAGCTGGGAGCTAACCCACATATGGCTCAGCAGACCTCTCCTGTCTCGCCTGCCACTCCCCTTAGCAGTGTATTTCAGTAAATCCACCTGCTTTGCCTCCCACTCTCTCTCTGGTGAATCCTCTCACCCTCAATATCTGGCTTACGGCCCAGTTCTTCTACATAAACATAAATAAAATCTTAAATAAGTAAGAAAATTAAAATAAAAACCGCTGCCCCTTTCTGAATCCTAAGGCAACATTTCCAGTGTTGTTACGCTCTTTGGTTAGCATATTCCAAATTTCATCTTTGTTCTGCCATGTTTATGTAGTACACACACATATATAGGGTATGAGATGGCAAAATAGTAACACTCATGAACTATTGATGCCAGGGGATGTTTAGTGGGGTTACATAGAAAGTGTCATGGCCCCATTTGATGGGGTCTACTTAGGGACACTAAGTAGGAAATGACTCTCTAGATAGGAACTATGTCATCTCAGACTCCAAGATAAAAATGATTCTTTCCACCTACAAAGGATCTAAAACTCCCCTCGAGTTGTAAGAAAAAACTGGTTGTGGTCTTAAGAACATAATTAAAGGGAAAATAAGAAAAATTACACACACAGCACTCATGAATAACAAATATCACCATCACCACCAGAGTAGTGGTGATAATTAAATATCA